CCCCTCACTCTAGCCAGGATCCTAACCCTGTGACATGGGGAAAAATGAAGAGCGTTGACCACACCAAAGGCCATTTCTGAAAACATCCTCTGCATTCAGCACAGATGTGAACTGAAACACCCTTGGGTGTCTGAAAGTGCCTAACAGCCTGCTTCTGAGATGACTGGCGTGAGTCCCAGGGCTGAAAAGTATTCGTGTTGGTGGTGACAGCAAGTGCTGATGTCCGTGGACTCTGGATGGGCAAGTCCATGGAATTAGCAAACAGTTTTACCTGCCATCTTAGGTATTCAAATTCTCATAGGCCATCAGTGACAATGAATGGGTGGTTCCTAAAACCTGGAGAAGAGCTGCCACTTCAAAAGCTGGGTCTTGGGCACATCAGCCCAGGGGCAAGGACTAGAAGGCAGAAGGGGGCAGGAAAGCTGGTAATAGGGAACCCAAGGTCGAGAAGGGAGAGTGTTGACATGTTGTGGAGTTATTAACCAATGTCATAAAACAATATGTGTACTAACTGTTTAATGAGAAGCTAGTTTGTTCTGTAAACCTTCATCTAAAGTACAATAAAAGGAAAGAAAAAAAAAAAAAGCTGGGTCTTGCAGTGGAAACAGTGCTGCGTTTGGAGTTAGATGTTATGTTTTTGAATCCCAGCTCTCCTCTTAACTACTTGTGTGACCTTCGGCAACTGACCTTCTCCCTGCTGTAGCTCAGTAGTTTCATTTGCAAAATAGACAACGAGTTCTTCTGAGGGTTAGGGATAATGTATGTGTATATGTAGTGCCTGGTACATAGTAGGAAGATGTTATTATTATTTGCTAGACTTGATTTGGGAGTCCCTGGATGGTGCAAACAGTGAAGCACTTGACTACTAGCCAAAAGGTTGGCAGTTCGAACCCACCCAGTGACACCTTGGAAGACAGGCCTGGTGATCTGCTTCCGAAAGGTCACAGCTTGAAAATCCTATGGAGCAGTTCTACTCTACACACATGGGGTTACCAGGAGTTGGAATCGACTCCATAGCAACTAACAAAAGAAGACATAATTCAGTCCGGTGATTGAGCTGACTGAGTGATATTCTCTTAGGCTGACTGTAAACCTGACAAATCTGCCAACTTACCAAAAATTACTAATGAACCCCTTCTATGGCACTATGGCACCGGAGCCCTGGTGGTGCAGTGGTTAAGCATTTGGCTACTAATCAAAAGGCTGGCAGTTTGAATCCACCAGCTGCTCTTTGGAAACCCTATGAGGCAGTTCTACTCTGTCCTATAGGGTCGCTATGAGTAGGAATCTACTCAGTGGCACCAGGTTTTGGTTTATGAGTCAGAATCAACTCAACAGCAGTGGGTTTGGTTTTTTTGCTTTTACGGCACTAGCAGGGGCCCTGGTGGTGCAGTAGTTAAAGCGCTTTTCTGTTAACCAAAAGATCCGTGGTTCAAACCCACCAACTGCTCTGCGGGAGAAAGATGTAACAGTCTGCTTCTGTAAAGATATACAGCCTTAGAAACCGTATGGGGCAGTTCTACTCTGTCCTATAGGGTCGCTGTGAGTTGAAATGGACTAGACAGCAACGGATTATGGCACTGGCATCAGTGTAGAGGGAGAGATTTAGCAGAACTGGTGGTCCATGCTCTCAGATTGTTTGGAACTAGGCACAGTGCAATTAGAGCCCATTCTGTAGCAGTCTCTCACAGAGGTCTCAGTGGTGTTAGGTGGCAGGAGTTCTAGAGATAGAGGGATCAGTGTGAGCTGGAATAGATAGGAAAAGTGGCATGGGAGAACCTTTGGCTACATGGAATAGAAATGTCATGTTAATATAGAGCAGCTAATGAGTGATATAGTCACACGGAAAGGCAGGAATTAAAATTGATGCCAGAGACCCCAGGGCCACTGAATATTTTTGAGCAAGGGAGAACATGATGAAAACAGTGTTTTAGAAAGATTAGTGTAGCTTCCTTACATATAAGATATTTTTGATAGGCCAGTTGAGGGCAGGGAGAAGTCAGCTGGCTGTTGCAAGAACCAGAACCTGATCTGAAGCAGGGCAGGGCCAGGTTGGGAAAGAAAGGATGAAAATGCAAACTACTTTCAAAGGGAAAAAAAGTATTAAAGAAATTGGTGATTAATTTGGTATTAGAGGTGAAAGCAAGAAATGACTTAAAGGGGACTTTAGAGTTTCCACCAGGGATACTATGAAAGTGGGGGAGAAACTTTTATAGCAATTTAACATTGCTGCAACATCTGAGCCTGTGATCAGCACATTTGTGTTTTGTATGCTTTTTTTATTTCAATTTATTCTAGCAATTTATTATGTCTTACAAAGTGTCACTCTGCAATCATTTGGAAATTAAAAAAAAAAGGAAACTAATCTTTTACTTCAGATAGTTTGTGAAACACACTCCTTGAAGAATAAGAAAAGCATGGGATCTCTGAGAAGGAAGAGGGAAAGGGACCATTCCTTGGGCAGTGGTTCTGCTAATTCTTCTTCAAAACTCCATGTCAGGACAGATGGGAAGAGAGCCCAGTTGTCTCTGTAGAAAGGACACTCACATTGTGTTTACCAGTGAGTTTCCATCACTGCATGTGGACTTCACTTCCACCTTAGGAGGTGGTTGGGACCTTACTAAACTAAACAAAATTGGTATTAGCTATAATGGGGGCATAAAGTAGATGTCTAACCTGACTCACCCATACTCTCTTCTCGGGAAATGACACCACCCAGAGGCCCAGCTGAAGGGGCAGGCTTGGGAGACCATGTTTGGAATTTGCTTAGATGTCTCAAAACCAGTCAATCCATGTCACTAACTTGCATTAAACTCTCTAATGGTTTTCCAAAGTCCATAACGTGGACTATCAAAAAACCAACCAAACCCGTTGCCATCAAGTCGATTCTCGCTTATAGCAACCCTATAGAGCAGAGTAGAACTGCCCCATAGGGCTTCCAAGGCTGTAATCTTTATGGAAGCAGACTGCCATATCTTTCTCCCACAGAGCAGCTAGCGGGTTTGAACCACTGGCATTTTGGTTAGCAGGTGAACGCTTAACCACTGTGCCAACAGGACTCCTTGCTCTGCCCTATAAACCAAAAAATCAAACCCTTTGCCATTGAGTCAGTTCCGACTCATAGCAACCCTATAAGAATAGAGTGGAACTGCCCTATAGGGTTTCCAAGGAGCGACTGGTGGATATGAACTGCCAACATTTTGGTTAGCAGCCATACCTCTTAACTACTGCGCCACCCTACTTATTTTGGCCCTATATTCCCTCTCCCACCTCATCTTCCAGCATTCTCCCCTTGCTTTCTCTGCTTCAGCTCCACTGGCCTCCTTGCTGTTCCTTACACATGCCAAGTACAAATCCATCCCAAGGCCTCTTAATTTGCTGTTTCCTCTTCGTGAATATTCCTTCCCCGTATAAATTTGCATAGCTGGCACCCTCACTTTACTCACATCTCTGTTCAAATGCCCACTATCCCCGTCAAGGGATCTGAGACAACCTATGTAAAGCTAGCACCTTCCTTTTATCACTTTGCCATGCTCTATTTTTCTATTTTCCTTTATAACCTATCAGTGCTGCAATTACATGTGTTTATATTATATATATACATGGGGCCCTGTTGGCACAGTGATTAAGAGCTACAGCTGCTAACCAAAAGGCTGTCAGTTCGAATCCACCAGCCGCTCCTAGGAAACCCTATGGGGCAGTTCTACTCTGTCCTATAGTGTTGCTATGAGTTGGAATCAACTCCATGGCAATGCGTGGTGGGTGATGTATTATGTATGTTGTAGGGGAAAACCATCATAAATTTTAGGAAAGCAAAAAGAAAGTTTTATTTGGCATATATTCAAAAGGGCAGAAGTGGGAAGTGGACAAGCATACCGCCAGAGCCCTGTCTGCCTGAGTCCAAGGAAATATCACAGAACAGACAAAAGTGGGAAAACCGATAAGCATGCTGCTAGAGCCATGTCTGTCCAAGTCCAAAGAATATTACAGAGTAGGCAAGAATGGGAAAACAGACAAGCATGCTGCCACAGCCATGTCTGCCTGAGCCCAAAGACCATTACAGAGTCATCAGTATATATTAACATTACAAATGGGCAAAATCATTGAAAGCTTAGCCTTTTCAGATTGGCCAGAAACTGTGATCCTACATTTTGGATTGTCTTTCTTAACAATCATTGGTACAGGTTTCAGTAGGGAGAGTCAGGAGGGTCTTCATTGTCCAGTAAATTTCTATTCACTAAATGCTAATAGAAAAAGATAAGAGTAAAAGTCTTTTGTGTTGTGTGTGATTGGCTTTGTGTGAAAGTTTCCCTAAAAGGTATTTTCCAAGATTATCTTAGCTATTGTCTTTATACCTTAGGGCCCAGCTGATGTGTCCTTGTGAGTCCTTGTGAGCCCAGCTCCAGCTGGGTCATGTTCTCTATGCCCAAGGAGAGGGAATAATAATAACTCCAATATTATTTCCAAATCATGTATATGTGCATATGTGTGTATAATTTTTTTTGCCTTTTCATTCTCTTATTCTTAGTAGAATGTAAACTCCCAGCAAGCAGGACTTTATCTTGTTCATTGCTGTATCCTCACCACCTGGAACAATTATTAACACATTTTATACGCTCAGTTAGGAATTGCTGAATGAATGAATGGTCAGTGTCCAGCTTCTGCTCAGGCATTTGAACTAAGGACACAGTGACTTTTTTGGTTGATGATAGATGCTGGGTGCTGGCCCTGTGAGGTCAGTTGGGCTTGGGGCCAGCAGCCAGGTTCGGTCACTTGTAAGCATAGGAAGCTGGTCAAGATCAAAAGTGACACTGAGGGGAGAAATGGAAAGTTTTGCTGCCTGATGGCCTTTCTCCTCCCATTTGGGGCCTGACTGTATTTGGGTTTCTGTGCCCATAAACTTGTCCTGGTGTCTGTGTTAGTTTTCTATTCCTGCATAACAAATTATCACAAATTTAGTGGCTTAAAAAGCACCCACTTATTATTTCACAGTTCTTTAGGTCAGAAGTCCAGGCAGGCGTGCTTAGGGTCTCGTGAGGTGAAAGTGAAGGTGTTGGCCTGCCTGGGCTCTCATCTGGAGGCTCTGGGAAGAACCTGTTTCTAAGCTCATTCGGGTTGTTGGCAGAATCTAGTTCCTTACACTTGTAGGACTCAGGTCCCTGTTTTATTGCTGGCTTTTGGCTGGGAACTTCTCCTAGCTCCTAGAGGCCACTCTCAGCTCCTTGCCCAAGGCCCCTTCCATGTCAGCAGCTGAGAATCCCCCTTGCTTCAGATCCCTCTCACGCTTCAAATTTCTCTCACTTCCTCTTCTGCTACCAACAAGAGAGAACTCTGCTTTTAAAGGACTTGTGTCATTAGACTAGATTTACCCGAGTAATCTCCCTTTTAATTAACTCAAAACCAACTGACTAGTAGCCTTAACTATGTCTGTAAAATCCCTTTCCCATGTAAACTGGCAGTACCAGGGAGCCATAACGTATTTACAGTCCTGGGATTAGGATGGTGTTATGGATTGAACTGTGTCCCCCCAAAAGATATGTTGAAGTCCTAACCTCTGTACCTGTCAAAATCAGCCTGTTTAGAAATAAGGGTTTTCTTTTTTTATGTTAATAAGGCCAAAACCGAGTAGGGTGGTTCCTAAACCAAATCATTTCCCAGTAGTATCTTAAAAAAGAGCAGACGAGACACAGACACACAGACACGCATGGGGGAAGAGACCATGTGAAGAACCATCTATAAGCCAAGGAATGTCAAGGAATGCCTGGGGCTACTGACAAGGCAGGCCCCTCCCCTACAGCCAGTGCTCTGAGTGGACTTCTAGCCTCCTAAACTATGAGACAATAAATTTCGGTTCTTTAAAGCCACCCACTTGTGGTATTTTTTGTTATGGCAGCGCTAGGAAATTAAGACAAGCTGGAAATCTTGAAGGGCCATTTTAGGATTCTTCCGACCACAGTATCTTTTTTTTTTTTAATCTCCTTTAATTAACTAGATCTGGGGAGATGGAGGGATTCTGTTGTTGCAATTAAAGCGTAATGATAATCCTCTGTGGCTTATCACAGAGGACACAGCCTTGGGATGGGGGGTGGAGGTGGGGCTGAAGTTACAAACTTTGTCTTCTTGACTTCTACTAAATTGTGGTTCTTAATTTTCCTTTGGAATAGAGTTCAGAATAGAGAGATGCAAAAGATTAGACCATCTGCCATGCTTTATATGCCAAAAATAATGAAAATAGCCCCCTTGCCTCTAAGCTCTCTGGTAGAAAACTTTTTTTTTTTTTTTTAATATTCTCCCTTGCGAATCCCTTTCCAAGTGAGATCATTGGTGATCCTGAGCCTTTTCCCATGATTTAATTGAGGAGGAGAGGACCGCCCAGCTAAATCTCTCAGAATACATTCTGGGGTAATTGGCTTAAAGCCTCCAGGCTCTTGTTGAAATGAGTGGTTTTGGTTAATCCACACCATGAAGCCGAAAAGCTATTATGTATGTATACGTTAGTCATGAGGTATTATCAAGAAATTCCATGTAGAAGGGAATAAGCTATGGTTTGGGATTGAAAAAAAAATATTAGAAGAAAAATGCAAGACATAAACTCTGTTTCCCCCAGTTATAAATCTGAGTAAGCTTTCAAGCCTCTGCATGACTCAGAGAGGTCACTGACCAAATCTGCTGAGGGAGGCAAAATGAAACAAAAATGGCTACATTTTTATTATTTTTTTCCCTGCTGCTGTTAGCTCTTTCATTTGCCCCATGTAACACAATTTTCCAGAACACTGTAGGAAATCTGAGATATGGAACTGCTATCCAGTTCACCACCTAACTTCAAAAAATGTATAGTAGTAGTTGAGTGTCAACAAAATAGCATGTGGTAAGTTGCAAGGAAGCAAGGGGGACGCTTACTTTGTGGAAAATTGCTGGCAAGTGGAAGGATTGTAAGATTATGGCATTAGAGAGACTCAGCGTTGGAAAGGGCCTCACCCCTTTACAGCCTAGTCTAACCTTTATACTTTGTGCGGGGATCCCCTCGATAGCATGGAGACAGGAGGTCATACTCTTGATCGTACTCTTTAGAGAGAGTCAGAGGGAATTAGAAGGCAACAGCTATGATAGAGGCTAAGAGTCCTGGACCTTAGCTTAACTTTTTTGAGTTTTAGTGTAAAATGGAGATCACCATACCTAGTTAGCAAGGTTGATGTAGAATGAAATAAGATGCATGAGTAAGCTTTGTAAACCATTCAGCAATGGTAAGTTATTGTATGGTATTAGCACTATCAATAGGAAGAAATTGAGATTCTCACCTAGGGCGGTGGGTGATCAATGCTGGAAGAAAGGTACATGGAGCACAAGACAATTATTGGGAATGCAGGAAAAGACATTGCATTTTCACGGTCAAAACATGTAACACTAGGAGCTTGAAGGCTGCTTTAAAGAGGAAAGAAGAGGCAGCCACTGTGTAGAGCAGAAGCCTCAAGCCCAAGACAGAAAGCCTATGCTGCTCAGGTGTACACAGTATACTGGTTGGGCTCTCCGTAGCACCACCTAAGAGCAGAGCCCTTAAGTCACCAGGCCCACAGAGAACCCGGACACCAAGCTTTCATCTGAGGACTCAGGGGAAAAGTGCCTGCTCTTGAAGCTTCATGAGAAAAAAACAGAAGGCTGCCACAATCCTTAAATGAAATAAAGGCAATTTCCAAAAGCCATAACCAACCAACCAACCAGTTGCTGTTGAGTCAGTTCCAACTCATGGCAATCCATATGTGCAGAGTAGAACTGCACTCCATAGGGTTTTCAAGGCTGTGAACTCTTGGGAGCAGATCACCAGGACTTTCTTCTGAGGTGCCTCTGGATAGGTTCGAACCGCCAACCTTTCAGTTAGTAGTTGAGTGCTTAGCAGTTTTCATGACCCAGGGGCTCCCCATTGAAGAGTATCATCATACTTGTTAACTTGACTTCTTAAAAGCGTTTATCATAAACCGCTTCCTCTCTTGGGTAACCTTTTCCTCCTGCAGATGTAGGATTCAAAGGTAGAAAACTGAAAGCTGAACTCTTGGCTTTTGTCAGTAACCAGGTTGTGTATATTCATTTATTTCTGTATTCAACAAGCACTTGATGCCTACTCTTGCTACACCCTGTTCTAGGTCCCAGGGATTCAGATGTAGCCTACTGGGTGTCAGATGGGAACACACAGGAGCCCTGATGGAAGCAGGATAGCTTAATTATTGCTTTCCCTTACCTGTGCCCTCAGACAACAATGATTTAATATCGTTACCATTTAATATAACATACCATATACCATCTAATTTAATACTATTTCATATAGTTACCTTTGCTGATTCCTGTCCATGAGACCTTGCTTTTGGACTTGCTTCTTCTCACCCACCTTCAAGTTCCTAGGTTGAGCCCTATTCCTCTCCAAAGCCTTGCCAAATCCTCTTGCCACTGTGGATCACCATTTGCTTGTTGTCTGTGCTCCGATTTTACTGTGTCATTACCCCATTCCTGTCGGCCTCATGGCCTTTCAGCATGGTTTTATAGTACTGAGCCTGGCTCAATGGATGCTTGAGGCTGAATCTTGAGGTCCTTTCTTCAGACAGGAGGAGACAGGGTTTGAGTTGCCTGTGCCCTTGGGGAAGGTTCCTCCTGGCTTCTCTTTGTTCATGGCATCCCCCCGAGGATGGGCCATGGCAATCTTGCACTCAAGTAGCAGAGACTTGGCAGAAATGGAATCCGGGTTGTTAATGGGAACATACCGTAGGGCATCAGGCATGCTGTGGGTAAGAGCTATGTCAGTAGAAAGAGGTGCCTCTGCGAGTTGTTCCAGAGAGTGCCATAAAGCAAAGTGCGTGGGCCAACAAGAAATGGGTAGCCATTAAAGTGAGTGTGGGGGACCTGGAACACGGAGCTCAGATGATTATCACCCAATTTTTATGCATAATGGCACTCAGTCCAGTGTATCTTAAGGGCATTTCCACTGAAGAAAGAAGCCACTGGCATGGCTGGGACCTCAGCAGCTAGGACAGAATAGAACCAGGGTAGGAAAGTCAGGATTTCAAGACAATATGAACAACCAGATTGCAGTGTCTTGTGGTCTGTCCAGAGTGGAGCAGCCCTGCAATCAGTAGGTGGCATTGAGAGGTCCCGTCGCCCCCAAAGAAGGGGCTAGCATAGTTGTCAATTAGGCTATGGTCTAGGGGAGGGCTCTACTTCTAAGAGGAAGCTAGACTTTTAACCATGTGTACGCAGAGCCAACTTAGTGATGGTGTCTGGGGAAAATGAAGTCTGATAGAGTATATTCATAGAGGCAAGCTGAATACTGGGTGTTATCAGTGAGGGTCCCTAGCATAACGTGATGGCATACTTGCAACTGCATAATATAAGTACAGTTTAATAAAAGTCTGTTTACAAAGAAGTGGGCAGAGTATAGGAAAAACACAAGGGATGGTGCCGTATCCTGGGGCTAATAACCATGGGGAGTTGTTCCTAGGACTGAAGGGACAAGGATAGGAGTGGTTACCAAATTCCAGAGCTAAAGAAAGAGGTGTAGAGAGGACCACCAGACAGACAGGACCTGTGACCTCTGGTCATGGTGGCCCCACAGCAAAGGTGTCAGGAAGTAAATACCCCAGTGTCCTCACTTCTCTCTCAGATTTTGTAGGGTATTTTCCTTTGATCAAATTTAAACTGAGGCCCGAGGGCAATCACACCTATTGATACAGCCACTCCTAGGCAGGAACAGGGGGCAGAAGGTGGAGAGGCAGGCATAACTAGTTCTGGATCCCACCTTCTGGTGGGACTGAGCCTACTGACCTCCTACCCACCCTAGTAAGGTTTGGCTCAGGACTGGGGTGAGGCTGAGCCTCAGGCTAAACATCTCTGTTGCTTCGAGTTGATAGGAGCTGCGCCTGGCATTGTACCTTTAAAATAACAGCTTGCTCCATACATACGGGGGCCATATGTCCTCAGTTTTCCAGGACATTCTCAATTTCAAATATTCTGTCCCATTTTGC